ACGCTGCACAGTTGACACAGGAATTGTCACTTGCACAATCAAGGCAGTGTCACATTGTCACTAAAGTTTATAAATTGCATTACTTTTTTAATTCTTGCCAGTGTTTAACCATTCAGCGCTCGCGCGCTCTCCTGGAGACCGTGCGCTCATGGACACTCGCAGCGCACACACATAATGCCAGGTTCACACATTACTCCGTTTGCAGTGTGTATGCGGTGCGTATTTTTTTCCGTGGTCATGTTAACGGATTAAATCGTTTCGCACCGAGTCTATTGCTGCGCTGCGAGCGCTGAATTAAAGTAAAGTAATGTAAAGTGCATTTTTTGCAGTAACTATGAACATGGATTGACACAAAAATGTACTCGTGGAGGTAGGAAAACAAAGTTCTTTATGAACGGCAGGATTGCTTGTAATAAAGATTTAAATGCAAAAGGAAAGGCAGTAGAGCTGTCTATTTCTGTCAATGGTAAGTTTGTGATAATGTAAGAAAAGTAGTTTAAATGTTTTGCCACTTACTTGAGCAACTTAATATATAAATCTAGAAGTAAATGCAAAAGTAAAAACCATTGAATAATGTGTTGCTCATATTTATTGTGTTTAAACATGTCTGTGAAAGACTGTATTATTGTACTGTGTAAAAAAAGAATTGAAATGCTGAAAAAGCATTTCCAGTGACAATGTTTGGATTTGAAACCAAAATAATGGATAAATATTGTGTTTGTGGTAAACAGCCATGGATCAGTAGCGTACTCCTGTGTGAAAGCACAGTCCGTGCTGCTTCCCCTCACAAGAGTCACCTAAGAGGGGAATTCCCCCCCATTTTCAAAAATGAAATTCAGGCCCTGAATAAATGTCTAAAAATCCTGATTGGATTATCACTATAAATAGTTATAAATGATAAAAAGAAGGCTTTAAAAAGATCGGTATCGTTGATCGGTATCGGCAGATACTGCTTTCTGTGATCGGCCTCAAAAATCCTGATCGGAGCACCCCTACCTATGTCACTTATGTATTAGCAGTAACTCTCTTTTAGCTACTGTTTTCAAATGTTCCTTTCTAACTTTTTTCTTTCCCTCTCTACATCCATATTAAAGGCTCATGGAGGAGACATATACGGTGGATGAGGTATCTGACATGCTGGACGGGCTACAGGTGCTGGTGCGTGGAGAAGTGGAGATGGAACTCATAAACACAGCTCACACTAATGTGCTGCTCCTGCGACAACTCTTTTCCCAGGCAGAGAAATTCTACCTAAGATTGCAAACAGACATTTCTGAGCTGGAAAACAGGTGAGGACATGAAAGATGTTAAATGGTTAAGAGTTAAAGGGTTAGTTCACCCAAAAATGAAAATTAGCCTGTGTTTTACTTACCCATATATGAACGTGGTTTTGCTCAGCTTGTCTGTGAACAACGGCTCTGTGTAGTAAATGCTGCTTCATGTGAAAGTACGCACGTGATGGAGATTTACTGTTGATTACAGAAGCGGCTTTACTGACAAGATGCACATTAAATATCGCATGCGATTTATCGTGCAGCCCTACTGCGCAGCGCTTTGAGTGTAAGGCCTGGTTTATACTCGCAGCATCAGCAGGAGTGCGAAGGTGCTCGCAGCAAAAATGACGTGCATATTGAGGAAACCATTTCATATCGTTCGGTATCGATAATTATTGACATTTTTTATAACCTTTTTTTAAAACAAAGAGCAATAGAAAAAAATGATTAAATTTAACCACTGTATTTTTAAATTAACTCAAATTATTGAGACAAACAACAAATATTTTTTGTTTTAACAGTCAAACACAAAATACAAATTAAACAAATATCTCATTTCTAATGTTTTATATGCAGATTAAATAGGTCTGAAGGAAACTTTTGGCTTGTTCCCCCGAGGCCACAGGAGGGTGCAATGAGCAAAATTAGCAGCGCATCAAATTGCCAACGCAAAGGGAAAAAAAAAGTGCATTACGTCTAAATTAATTCATATAAATCAAACATAATTTCGTAAATTGCATAAACAATTATGAACAAAACAGCATCATGTATTTATGCATTGCTTAATACAAAGAGCCGAATCGCCCATCACACAGATTGCATTTAAAAACATATGAGACGCAGTGAAAAGTGAAGGGCTTGGTTTCGGTTTTAACCTAATCAAGATATTCTACGCATTGAGCTTCTATATTTCTCTTAATATTTTGAATGAATAACGCAGCAGCGGCGAGTCTTGTGGGCTAGACAAACAAAAGATTAAAATGCAACAACGTCACTTACATCATCATCACCGCATCTCGCGCTCCACTAATGACGCTCCCAGACGCACACCTAACATTTGATTGTACTATTTTTGCATTCAAATGCAAATGTTTATTTTAAATTCGACTAATATTCATTTTTTTTATTCACAATCTCCTCATCACAGGCAGGCACAGCACTCAATTCAGCATGTGTTCGTGTTTGTGTGTGCGGTCTGCGTCACTCATAGCATGTGCCTATATCGTGCGCTATATCGAACATTTTTTCTATCGTTATCGAAGAGGGTGTACCGTCGATAAATATTGATACCGTTTTATCGCCAAGGCCTAGTATGGCATATGTAAAAAGTCATATGATCATTCTTCAATGTAGCCTACTATAACCTCCAAGAAACGTTCATACGTGGCTGCTCTCCAGTATAAGGGGCTTTCCCTACCATTAATGCTTAGACAATTTACACTGCACACGTCTGCGGTGCAGTAGTGTGGCTCTGATATGGCCACTGAAGCTGTCAATGCTTGTGTTTATTCCAGCCACGCCATGCAAGTTTCTGAAGTGGCTCTTCTTCTCTTGCTCTGACACGCATACGCCTCCATTGAATAAATATAGCCAAAATCCGTCAAAATCCCACCAAAATCCGTTGCCATGATTTATCGCGAGAGGCTGAAAGGTTACGTTTTAGTGGCATAACATTGGTTAATGGAAACGCCGTCATTTCGCAATACTTTTTAATCAACATTTATGAAACATCTCCAAAGTTTTGCGCAAATCTGTAATGTAAACGTGCCTACTGTCACCGACAGCAAGTTTAGTTTTACATTTCTTTTTGTTTTCATTTGCGTTATCTTTGCTGTTTACCACATAATATGCTATGGAGGCTCTCTTTTATTTATTTTTTATTTGATTCCTCAGTGTTTGCTAAACGTTCTGTAGGGGGAGAGCGGGGCACAAAGTAACACTTTTTGACTTTCTCAGTTTGTGTAAATCCACATGGGGTTCAGAATATAATTTTTTTCTCCACAGTAATCTTACACTGGTCTAGTACAAATATGTCGCTTTGTTTCATAATTACAGTGTATATGTTTTTCTTTATTTACCCTTAAAAAATGGAAGTGAAATGTGACAACATGCCTCGTAGGTGGGGTACATTGTAACATCTGAGGGGCACGTTGTAACATGACCATATGACAGCTTAATGTCATAGAATAGCACATTGTAACGCAGTGTTACAAAGTGCCCCATCTGGAATTTAAAACTGGTTTGTGTCTTCTGCTAGTTATCAAATCGTTTAAAAAACGACCTGAACTGATAAATAACAGATTGGAGATTAAAATAATAGCAGATTTGTCTAATTTTAAATGAATAATAAAAACTGAGATGAAAAATTTACTTAAGCCAGAATTTTGTGCCCCGCACTCCCTAATTTATTAGTCTGTATATAGTACAGCATGTGGTGTATGCCATGCCTTATCTTATTCATTTATGTTAATAAACATTTTGTAAGCTTGTCATTGTATCTTACTGTTTTATTGTTGTTGTGCTTTTTAATTAAGAATAACAATGAATCCATCTTTTGTTTTAGTCTTAAAAAGTGAAAGGTATAGATGTTAGCAAAACAGACAAATATCTTTTCTTGTAAAATGTGACAAAAAGATCGCAAATTCAAAAGCGAAAGCATCTGAAGCCCGCGGCTTATAACATAGCAAAAGAGGAACTCCCGTTCACAAAATTCAAATTACAAATAATAGCCTACTACTAATGAAAAAGAACAGGTTGAACTTTAACCTCTTTCGTTTCCATATAACTATAAACTATGATAAAAGTTCATTAGCATGCATTGATTAATCCCATGTTGTAGAAAAAAAACAAAAAAAACAATTGCGACCATGTGCTCGTGTTAGTCACAAAAGAGTGACCAGTGGGAAAGAATGAGTCTGGAGCCCTGATGATGCTGTTTTGTTTATAGTTGTTTAAGCAACTTAATTATAATTGGTTTATAAACATTATTTGAAGCATTATGCACTTTTTTCACAGAAACGTGCATTAGTAATATTTTGCTCGATGCGCCCTCTTGTGGCCTTAAGAGAGAAGCCAAAAGCTTTTCTTCACCCTAACTGAAATTATGCATTTTAAATTCGAATATAATTAGAATTTTGATAATATTTAAGTAAAAAAAAATCTTATTTAGTTTTTCAGCCATTTTGACAGCCCTAGAAAGCAGCAGTTTAAAAACGCATCTGATTACAGCGATGTGGATGTTGCACGAGCTCTGCAGTTCAGTACTCCAGTAAAGTCCAGTCACGTCACATTTATTTATATAGTACTTTATCAGTGTTTCTCCTGCCATCATATTGGGGGGCCCCGCCGCAAAACGACTATTTAAATATGAATTCTGTGTGTTAATGAATGGCGCAGACGTGCGGTTTTGTTTACTACTCATACTGAAGCGCGCATGACGCTTCTGGTGATGTCAGCATCTGCCGTCTCACTAATGAAGACATAAATACATGAACATCTTCTCCAGAACTGCTCTGAGAGTAACTTCATGAGCATTTGACCGTTTCATTTGAGTAAAACTATCCTCATATCACATACACACAGAAATGTAAAGGTATTCACGGCAACCCGTCAAAATAAAAGTTTGGTTTAACTTGAAGACATTGCGGCAGAAATATATTACTGTTGTTCAGTAGAATGTATGTAATAGGCTACTACTACTACTACTACTAAAATTATTAAAACCTTATTTGTAAGGAATAATCATACAATATTTCTTCAATGTTTTAATTGTAATATTAAATCCCCTTTATTTAAAAAATACAAATAAAATGTGTTTAATTTTCATTATTTAAAAGATAAATTAAATGAATGTTTCATGCCTTTAAAATGTAAATACACAGCACAGAATTTCTGAGGGGAAAAATCGTAAGGCTATTGTAAGAATACATGAAAATAGTTTTTATGCTTTCAAATAATTAGACATGCTAAAACACAGAATTTGGTAACAATAAAACATAAGGCTGGAAAAAAAAAAATTTAATAGGACCCTAAACATGTAATTTGTGTTAAACTTTTAATAAATTGATGTTAAAATAAGTTTAATGATAATTGATTAATTAGATTATAATTAATTAGACATGCTATTTGATTAATACAATTTAATTTAACCATTAAAAAGGAGTCCAGAAAAATAAAAAAACCCCGTAAACCTAGGGGAAGCACTGACTTTATGCAATAGATAGCCTTAAATCAAGCAGCTCTACAGTATTAAACATGAAAAACCAGAGTCAGTGTCGCTTTCAGTTAGAATTACAACTTGATTTTCTGTTATAAAGCAGCTCTCCAGTGTGGAGCTAGCTAATGATAAAATATTTTTATTAGTGTGGAAAACCCCCCCCATTTCATTAAAGTTATAGTTTGGTTTGCAGAGATCAAAGCTTAATCTAGCTCAGGACTGTTTTGATTATCATAACCCTATACGGTATTTTAAGAGAGATTATGTTGTGAATAAAATAGTTTATCCAAAAATAAAACATCTTATCACTTAACCTTTATTTTGTTTCTTATCCATATGACTTACAAAAAGAGATTTTAGGCAGAATGATGTGTCATTCAGCTACTTTTTCATATAGCTAATTAAATGGTGAATAAGAGAGTTTTTCTGCCATCTCATTTTATGTGCCAAATATATTTATTTGTATAAATTAATTGTATAACTGTAATTACATAATATGACTTTCAAAAGCTGAAGTGATTACCTTAATTTATTTGTTAAAATATGTATAACTCAATATTTTAACTAATTGTAAAAGCTGAATAATCAATAAATGTCTACTGATTAATCAGCGGAATAATCGGCGATTAGTCGAGTAATCGTTCTAATAATTGTTAGATTAATCGATTATCAAAATAATCGTTTGTTGCAGCCCTACCTAGGATGCTTCGAGGGTGAGTAAAACACAGGCTAAAATTAATTTTTGGGTGAACTAACCCTTTAAAGGTTTAAAGTATGTTTACATCAAGAACAATGAAAACTCAAATGCTTTAAATTCGGCATTAAATAAAAAATTCACCATATCTGTTTTCTAAGTGCATCTAAATGTTATTGTGAACAATTAATTTGTGCATATGCTATTTAGTTTCATTTAATTTTTTTAATGACCTTATGAAGCTTAATCAAAATGTCAGTACTGGACCTTACAGTGAAAGTGACGGACTTCTATCTGGTGACGTATGTGAGACTTCTCCAGTTATTTAGTTTGCTTAAACCCCATCCCCGCAAGCTTGCAGTCTTCATTTTTCTTTTCTGATAATCCATTACAATTGGATATCCGTCACAATACAGAAGAGAAGATTTGGTGATATTTCTGTTTCATAGCAACTTCAATGCAGTAAACAAACCATCTAGTAATACAAATAAAAATGAGCATAACATGCTAAATAACTAGTACATGCTAAATAACTAAATAATGCTTTCTTATTTTTAAAAACCTCTATATAGTCTATATCTATCATTCTTTCTTTCTTTATTTTTTCTTTCTTTTCTTGCCATGAATATGGTGGTAGCTGGCATGGGGTTAAACTATAAACAAACAAACAAACTTTTGCTTCTTACATCATAAAAATAGTCTATATTTTGTGTATATTTATTTATTTAGTAGGTAGTCTTTTTAGTTTAAGTGTAATAATGTAAAATATACCCCATTAAACGGCTACTTGCAAATTAAAAACATACATTTTATTTGAGTTGAATGTATTTTATTGTGTGACATGAAAAAGGCTGTGGAGTGATATAAGACACTTGCATAGCTAAGTCAAAAAGAATTAATTATTTCGATTTATAATTTTTTGCGAATTGCGTAACTATTTTCAAGGGGTGGGTTCAGCTTTCAGACATAGAAAGTTTTTGAAATGAATCTGCCGGTAGTAGATTGTGTAGATTGATATCAGAAGTATTTGGGCAAAACTCTACTTAAAAATGCACACTAATGTGGAATATCTACAAAATGTGAAAAGCTCAGAAATAGAATTTTGACTGGATTTTATAAGCATCAATGGTGGAATGATGGTAGAACTTACTAGGTCTATTGGGTTGTAAAAGTTTCTAGGTGCCACTGTACACTGGCTTTTGGCTAGCAGGAGTTTGTTGAACCTCAAGGTGTAGCTTATTTTTTTGTGGCATGAACCAGGAATGGAGGAAGTTCATTGAATAGATTCAGCTTGGAAACTGCATACTGATGAACAAGAACTGGACTGTTACAGGTGGAGGAGAGAAACAGAAGGACAGAAGATGAGAGAAGATGTCATTAGCCCTGTTCGGTCGGGACTAGTTTTACAGGGAAGAAATTAGAAATTAGTCGTTAGAGAAATTTGTGTTTCACAGATGTACTTGGTGATTTTAATCCTGTCGGAATCTGCCACGTCTGTGTTTTTCTCACACAACCATCTGTAATAATTCCAGAGCAAATTACCTACTGTTTTTCAGCAAACTCAGTGATCCTCAGAAAACTAATCCCGTCTGAATGCGAATGTCTGTGATTGCCGGTGATATTTTTTTTCCTTGTGTGTTTTGGCCAACCTGAATTACCGTAGATGCTCTTACGCACGCATGTTTGATATATTTGCCTCCCGGCAAAGAAAAAAAAAATATTGTAATATCAGCGTCAGGTAAGATTACTCGCATTAATTTCTGCACTCAATTACATAATGTTTTAATTACATATGTACCTTTATGAAAATTAAACATGGGTTTACTACAAATAAATAAAAATATAAAATAGTTAAACTAAAGTAACCACACATTAACATGGTTTTGCTATACTAGCCATTTAGCTTCACCATGGTATTTGTAGTAAAACTGATTATACTAATGGTAATCAATCCGAATGACTATAAGCAATGCACGCATACAGAGCGCGTGATCTCTGAAACGCCCAGATGTACAAAACAGACCCTCCCACCTCTGTAATAAACACGGAGATGTTAGTCCTGTCCGAATTGGTACATGAAAATCTCAGACGTCAGGTGATAAGAATCGAAACTCAAACGTAGTTTAGAAAACTAGTCCCGTCCGAATAGGAGTATTGAGACACTTCAGTACCCTACTTCTTCACAAAGACATCGAGTGCTAGTCTGATAACAAAGGATGCATACTGTTGGGGTACTGATTAATAAATCATTCCAACAGTTGCTGCCATGAAGTCACTGAATGCAAAAACCTGTACATCATAAACTGACCTATAACAAAGTTTCTAAGTGTAGTAATTGTCTATATTCATAACTCATTGTGCTAATCACTGGACTGAATTAGAATACTTTTGGAAGTGCTTAAAATTGGAGGCAGAATGCTTTATTTCTCTCAAGAGATCAAATCTGTGAAACAGGATCTGTCAGTAAGTGTGACCCATGCACCCACTCCACTGTCAAAGCCACATCCTTTCCACCACTCTGGTCGGGCCTCATGCTGTAAGGTCAACTGAAAGTCATACTTTCACTCAAAGCAAGTAGATTTCTTTGTTGATGATGAAGACATTTGAGAATACCACGTAACTTCAGCCTAGGACATCTAATCTATATAATAAATGTATAAAAATGTATGAAGTTTTCATCATTACAATCATCATTACGAGCCTATATAAGAAGCACTCATCTCAGTGACAATTCTTCCGGCATCCCTACACCTCCCCATCTCCTCTATTTCTGTTATTCTCCTTCTAGGTTGTACCGCAATGGGTGGTTGAACTCGGAGCTCAAGCCGAGCCTCGGGTTCGAGCACGTTTTTTGTGTGCATGTGAATTAGGTTTTATGTGAATTTGGAGGTGCATGTGTGTGCATGTGTCTTATCTTTTGTGTGAATTATTATTGAGACCAGTCTAATTCCACTAGTGCGCCTAGGGTCAAGTCAAAAATGTTGAGAACCACTGCTTAAGGGACACTTCACATAAACATGAAGTCTGTCATCATTACCTTCATCTTGATTGAAACCATGTTTTTTCTCCTCCTTCACTTTTATCCTCACACAAAGTCATAAAACATATAACTTTAGAAGACTTGTAAAAAGCCAAATGGACTACAGTAAAAATTAACATTTACAATAAAAGTAGCATTTACACACATAAAAACTGTGTTCTGTAATATGTTGCTTGTGCAGTATGTTCGTGTTCAAGTGCGTTTTATCTGTTTTAAATACGTAAACAGCTGTATGTGTTTGTGTATGATCCTCCCTCCTTGATACATCAGGGATGGGCCTCACACAGAGGGAAAACACCCATATTTGCACGTCCTATGTGTACACCGCAATCTTCACAGACTGTGCACACAGCTAAATGTTTGCCTACCACAAACTGTTTTCACAAGGAGAAGGAGGGGCTTTTTTTTCCTTTTAGAAGGACTACACTTAACAGTGTAACTGACATGTATGTGTTTTTTAGAGGCTCTTACTCTCTGTCCCTTCTTTGACTCCACCTATAACCGAGAATCCTAGCAGGTGCATCTGCCTTTGTCATTGATGTGTCTTTTCTGTAGCTTTGAGATATGTATAAACTTTTTTCTGCATTTAGAATAGTCTTACAATTTTTCCCCCATTATTTTTTATTTCCCTACTGTCCACTAAAAGGTCAGTAGTTTAATTCTGAGCTAAACCAGTCATACTATTGTTTTTATGACTATCTTTCTCCCTCTATGCCTTAGAATTAAACAGGCTGTTTGTATAAAATGATTGAGGACCTGGTTAAAAAATACAAATGTTCTCATGTTGAGGTCATTTTAAAGGACATGTAGAGCTGCAGGTGTTACAATGTTCAAAAGTATTCATAACTTCATAAATCTTTTAACTGTGGAAGACTTAAATGGACTAGTAAATAGTTATATTGACTACTTCAGTGATTTCATTTCAGTTCAGTTCAATTCAAGTTTATCTGTATAGCGCTTTTCACGATACAAATCGCTGCAAAGCAAATTTACAGAAAATTACGTTTCTACAATATTTAGTTGTAGCTTATCAGTGGTGATTGTCAGTTAATGTACATATGGCAGAAATGTACGGAAAAATCAACTAAAGACGTAATCAAAGAGACGATGAACACTATTAACAGCAATTATTATATGATGCAATCAAACTTATAGCAAAATTTGGTAGTTCTCTATGTTGTTTCAGGGTTGGCATCATCTGAGGTCCTCTGAGGGGTTGGCATCATCTCTTCTCAGGTGTTCTGGATCCAGACTGAAGCTTGTGTAAATCCTAGTTACCACGGGATGTCAATGATAGTTTTATTTTTTTTTTCTTTCTCTGAAGCTTGAAAGTCCCTGTCCCCATTCACTTGGATTGAATGTATGGAAAAGGGCAGCTTGGATATTTTGCTAAATTTCTAAATGCTATACATATTGAGACGTATACATGTAACGTATACACGTATACATGTAAATATACAGATCATACACACTTCTCCTTCCTTATATATATATATATATATATATATACACACACGTGTGTGTGTGTGTGTGTATACACACACGCACACACACACACACACACACACGTATATAATATAAGAAAGGAGAAGTGTGTATCCTTATGGTTTGACTCCTTTAAAGTTAATTATAACTATTTATTATTTGGTTATCTGTAATTAGATGATCTATAATCATCTGTTGTGCCAAATTCATAATGAATCCTTACATTTCTCTCATTCCCTGTTTTTTTTTTTTTTTTTCCCCTTATCCTGTTAGAGAATTACTGGAGCAAGTAGCTGAGTTTGAGAAGACTGATTTCAAAGCCAACAGCAAGGTGAGCTCATTGCAGGTCTTGACATGACACATCAGTCTCTGATAGGTGTAGTCAGTTATTTTTGTAGCATATTATATATGACATCTGCAGCCTGCACAGAATTCACACATTTTGCAGGTTAATGTGTGAAATGCATCTTTTGTCCTTCTAGACTGTCATGGTCAGTGTTGAGGAAAGTTACTTTTAAAAGTAATGCATTACAATATTGTGTTGCTCTCCGGCCGCTGCCACAACGCCAGGGCCCAAACCCCCCTCCATCTGCTGTAGGTGAACCAAAAACAACTGATAGCAGCTCTCAGTGATATGTGTCGGGTCCCCGCTATAATAGCATACTCCCGAAAAAGTAACTTAATTGTGTTACTTAGTTACTTTTTATGGAAAGTAACGTGTTACGTTACTTTTGAGTTACTTTTTAAATCTGGGAAGGGCTTGCTTGTTTGTTTTTTAATATAAAAATTGTATTCTTTTACAAATGTAAAAGCTCTTTTCACAACAAAAGTGAAATGAATACGCCCCAAGCTGAAGGAAATGTAAATTCATGTCTGTAAAGCTCAAACAAATTGCATGAAGAATATTACACAGGAGAAGAAAGTTCAACACTATTCAGCAATAACAAAAATGAAACACAAATGTGTCATTTTTGCTTAGTATGGTTGAATTGGATTATTGAAGGTCAGTAGCAAAGACATTGGTTAATAAAATGGGATTAAATATATAAATGATTGCAGGTTTCTATAATATTCTGAGTTTGCATTTGACTGTTTTTATTCATTTTGAGGAATACTGAATCTGTCATTCTGTAATTACATGTTTATATTTAGTCTAGAACTACAGTAAGCATCATGTTCACACAGCACGCACAACGCCTCTGCACTTACTCCTGATTTCTCTCAACATGGCAACATGAGAGCAGTCAGTCAAGACATGGGAAAGAAAGTAACTGGCATTGCTTATTTGAAAAAGTATAGTTTAATAAAAGTAATTTGATTACGTAACTCGCATTACATGTAATGTGTACCCCTGGTCATGTGATGTGATGTTAGCTTTTCATGCTAATCTTATAATGATAGAAAATAAAATAAAACATAACTTCCCTTAAAATTCCCTTAGTGTCTTGTCATGGTCACAAGTTCATGGGTTCAACTTAAAGATTATGTATTTAAAGACCCCATGAAATGCATTAAGTTGAGTTTATTTAGCAATTTTTTTAGAAGTACCTCAGATGAGCAATATTAATGGCTTCAAAGCTAATAAACCACAACACTCCAATTTATATTTTATATGTTTTTCATAAAAATGACAGTACAATGACTGCTCATAGTGAACTACATTAATCATCTATTTTATTTGCTTTTAGGTAAATCAGGAGTCTAGTAAGCCAAAATTAGCACCACTGAATGAAGGAGGTGTGTCTGAACTACTCCAGAAGGTATTTTTTTTTATTTGAACAAATAAAATATGTACACAGGTTCTGTATATAAAGAAGTTCTTTTTGACTTTCTTTTTTAGGAGATTTCCAGACTACAAGAGGACAATGACAAACTGAAAGCTAGACTCAGAACTTTGGAATCTCAGGTGAAGAAATGGTGGTGATAATAATAATAATTTGTAACAAAAAATAGTAAAAACTCAGAATGTCTTTACTAAATTGGTAAACTTGATATATACTGTGGTCCCTGAAACATTTTTTTTTTTTTTTTATTAAAAACCAGCAGATATTTTTTTTAAATATTTTGCTTTAAAGGTGTGCTTACGTTTAAAAACTTTAAAAGGTGTGGTACGTTTCTTTAAATAAAAGGAATATAAGAAATTTAAATTTGATATTTTGTATCTAATGCAGTAACATTAAGACATTTTTAATTGTGGCTTAAGTGTCTAAATAGATTTAGGGGCCCTTTTATTATACATTATTTTGTGTGTTGGCTTTATAACTGTTGTATTGTAGGCCATGAGTGCTCTGGATGACAAGTCAAAAGCAGAGAGAGCCTTGAAAGACCTTCAGAAGAGCCAAGGAGATCAACAGGTATAAAGGCCCAGGTATACTTATTTTTCCGTGTTCCGCTCTGTCTCGTGCACAGCTGTAGCTGTGTATACGCAGATTTTAAAGTACAGGTGCATCTCAATAAATTAGAATGTCGTGGAAAAGTTCATTTATTTCAGTAATTCAACTCAAAGTGACAATACTCATAATGCTGCGGTTCTCTCGGTTGGTTATGCATCTTTTTCTTCCACACTTTTTCCTTCCACTCAACTTTCTGTTAACATGCTTGGATGCAGCACTCTGTGAACAGCCAGCTTCTTTGGCAATGAATGTTTGTGGCTTACCCTCCTTGTGAAGGGTGTCAATGATTGTCTTCTGGACAACTGTCAGATCAGCAGTCTTCCCCATGATTGTGTAGCCTAGTGAACCAAACAGAGAGACCATTTTGAAGGCTCAGGAAACCTTTGCAGGTGTTTTGAGTTGATTAGCTGATTGGCATGTCACCATATTCTAATTTGTTGAGATAGTGAATTGGTGGGTTTTTGTTAAATGTGAGCCAAAATCATCACAATTAAAAGAACCAAAGACTTAAACTACTTCAGTCTGTGTGCATTGAATTTATTTAATACACGAGTTTCACAATTTGAGTTGAATTACTGAAGTAAATGAACTTTTCCACGACATTCTAATTTATTGAGATGCACCTGTATACTCAACTGCGGATGAACAAGTTCGACAAACGCGCAGTACCACCTAGTGGACTCGTTTGGTCTCAACATTCGCAGCGTCTATGCTGTTGTATGCAGATCGTCTGCACAGACATCAAAATTGGGCTGCATGTGGACGATGTGTATGGATGTCCGCAGACACTACTGGTGATGAAAATTGTGTTATGTGGAACACGGACTGCTGGAGTATACTTTGGGCTTTAAATACTGTATATCACTGACTGAGCCAAACTGGCAATTTTAGCCTGTTGTTTTGTTTATTTTTAGTTTTTTTTTCTCACCTCTTTTTTTATAACTTTCTGTTTGGCTTCATGGAAACTCTGTGGTATGTGCTGTTTTAATTTTATTGCAAAATGTACAGCATAATATATGCCTGTAATTTATTTATTTATTTATTGATTTTTTGTAAATTGTACACACAGCAGTATAATGACAAAATATTTACAGGCATTTTCTTTGATAGTCTGCAATACATGCTCAGGAGAGCACAAATCTGGAAGGCACAGTTGCAGCGATGCAGGCTGACTTTGAAAAGACCCTGAATGCCAACGTTGCTTCTCAGAAAGACCTGCAGAACTGCCTGGTATCTGCTAAACATGACCTGCTCCATGTCCAGGAGCAACTTTCTCTTGCTGAGAAGGTACACTTATTCAGCACTGTAGCACTTATCAGACACTAATCTGAATTTCTGATTGTTCACACTGAAATCACATTGCAAAAAACAGATATTTTCAGTTTGCATATTCAGGATGCATATTCAGTTTATTTCCACATATGAAGGTCAACTTTAACCTAGTTAAAAACACTGTTGAAGTCTCGTTTACAGACCTATTGGATTCATTATTTCAAATAATATATGTACTTGATTAATCAATTGTTAATAACAGTAATTATTATTGTCAAGTCAAGTCACCTTTATTTATATAGCGCTTTTAACAATACAGATTGTGTCAAAGCAACTACAGTATTGATTAGAAAAATAGTGTGTCAATAATGCAAAATGACAATACTAAACACTCAATTTTCAGTTAAAGGCAGTTCATCATTGAATTCAGTGATGTCATCATCCAGCTCAGTTCAGCCTGGGTTCCTAACTGATGATGAAGAATTGACAGAGCAGCCATCAAGTCTTAGACAGTTGTTCTAGGTTATTATATGCAGAGTTTTTAGGTCCTATAATTAACACCTCTGTTTTTTCAGAATTTAGCAGTAAGAAATTACTCGCCATCCAGTTTTTATATCAACTAGGCATTCCGTTAGTTTTTCAAATTGGTATGTTTCGCCGGGCCGCGAGGAAATATAGAGCTGAGTATCATCAGCATAACAGTGAAAGCTAACACCATGTTTCCTGATGATATCT